TGAGTTGACTGGCTAGGCTTAAGAGTTGTTCAAGCAGCAGGTGGGGGAGTAAGTGTGGAAGTAGCAGGTGTCAAAGGAGACGTGGCTACTTCGGGTGCAGGAGCAGGTGCCACAGGAGTGGTGTCAGTAACGGGTGCGGGAGGAGGTGCTGCAAGAGGTGTAGCAGCAGTCAGTGGGAGAGGAAGTGCCACAGGAGGTGTAGCAATAGTAGGTGGGGGAGGTGGTGCCAGGGGAGCTGCAACGGTAGTGTAAGTATCGACAGAACTAGACGACCTCCTCTTCCTGCTATGGTATGTGGTCTCAAGGGTCCCTAAAACAAGAGATCTTTGAGGTGGCTGACCACCTGCACCACCTATGGCCATATGCAAACAAAGGAATGACATTAAAAAGAATATTACTAACAGAAAAAACAATCATAAGCAAAAAGAAAGAGTGCTGTAAAGATAAAACACAAATAGCAACTATGCCTAACAGTAATAAAAACAAGAGTAAAGAGCTATACCTCAAAACAATAAAAGTAAAATACAAAAAGTAACACTATTAACAACTAATCTAAAATTTGAGTACCTTTGTTATTGAGTTTCATCATAAGAACTCGTCGTCAAAGATGAACCTAAAATTTCTTCTTCACTCTCTTCATCTCCATCATCCAAACCATGAACAACTTCAAAAATTTCTGTGGTATTCTCAGTTGAACGTGTTTCATCCTGACATGAAAACATCATTTTTAGCTAGATGAATCACACTCATATTATTACTGTAGAGTTTTCTAATCCCTTGCTTCTTGATCAATTCTGACATGAAACTCTGTAGCCAATTCATCACATTACTAGCCTCAGTGATAGCAATATATTCAGCCTCCATAGTTGAAAGTGCAACTATCTTCTACAATCTCGAAACTCAACTCACCACTATGTTCCCTAATGTAAAAATATACTCTGTTGTACTTCTACTGTCCACAATTTCTGTTAGATCTGAATCTACTAATTCTTGTATACTGATCACTGCAATTCCATAGTAAAGTGATCTCTTGGCTATTTCCCTTAAGGATCTGAGATTCACTTTACCGCCTTCCAATGATGCCTGCCTGGGTTGTCCATATACTTGTTGACCACTACAATTACATATGCAATATCTAGTTTGGTACAAATCATTGCATACATCAAACTTTCAATTATTGAATCATACAGAGTTCTTTCCTTCTATGCTTGCTCTGCTTCAAAGTTAGACTATAGTTTCTTAGATAGTTTGAATTGACTATCTAACGAAGTGCTAATTGGTTTCGCCTCACTCATGTTGAACCTCTGTAGGATCTTCTTAACATACTTTGTCTGAGATAACTTCAGTGTTCTCGCACTCGTCCTTATGAGTCTCAATCTAAGGATCTTCTTGGTTGACATAAATCCTTTATCTCAAACTCAATTAATAACTACTTTTTTAAGTCTCTAATTTTCTCTATATCCGCCCCTGCAATCAGCATGCCATTGACATACAAAAGAAACAAGATATAATAATTACCAATGTGTTTAATGAAGCAACAGTGGTCTGCCTGACACTTCATGTATACATTGTCTCACATGAACCTGTCAAATCTTCTGTACCACAGTCTTGGGGTTTGCTTCAAGCAATGGAGGTTATTCTTCAATTTGTAGACCAAACCTTCGTTGCCTGGAATCTTGTAACACTGTGTTTACATTGTGTATAGCTCCTCCTCCAGATCTCTATAAAAGCTATTTTGACATTCATATACTCCAAAAGTAGATTTTCTTCTGCTACTAGACTCATTATAACCCTAATAGTTGTCATCTTCACCACTGAGGAGAAGATCTTTGTGTAATCCACTCCTTCCTTCTACTTGAAATCTCTTACAACAAGTCTTGTAGCACTTGCTACCATCTGACTCATCTTTCAGCCTTTAAACCCACTTATTGTGTAGTGCTCTTTTGCTATTTAGTAGTACTGTTAAATCTCAAATTTGATTTGACTCCAAAGATTGCATTTCTTCATCCATGACAAGCTTCCATTCCCTTGATTCTTCAACTTGAGTGACTTCCTCAAAGCACTCTGGTTCACTACCATTAGTTAGTAACAAATAGTGTAACGAAGGAGAATACCTGTGTACTGGTCGTATCATTGCTGGATTTTTGGACCGAGGAACTTTCAGTGCTCCTTCTGGTTGAGCACTTCTTCCTTCTTCATCTTCCTGATCACCAGTGTTTTTTATCTCAACATACTTGGACTCTTTAAGAGTAGCTAATGAGTTGTGCTGAGTTCTGATCTTATCCCTGTACTTAATGAATTTCTGATTTTGATAATCTCAGAATTTGTACTCAAATTGAAGGTGCACTTGACAGATTTTGAGTTAAGCTTGCTCCTAAACCCTGCATCAATATGCACATATGCATAACACCTAAATATTCTTAAATGAGATAGATTTATGTTTTTTGTTACTCCAAGATTCCTCAGGTAAGTCTTCCTTTAAATGTACTGATGAAATATGCTTAATCAAGTAAACTGCAGTATTTACTTGTTCGTCCCAAAACTATTTTGGCAAGCATGCAGATAGCCTCATGCTTCTAGCATGCTCCGTGATTGTTCTGTTCATGCGCTCAGCTACACTATTCTTCTATGATGTTCTTGGGACAGTGAACTCATGTTTGACTCCTTCTGTAACACATAAATTCTTGAACTTTTGATCGCGGTGCTCGCCCCCATTATCTAATTTAAGATACTTCAGCTTCAAACCTGTGTCATTTCTATCATAGCCTTACACTTCTTAAAGACCCTAAATACATCAAATTTTAGCTTTAAGAAATAAACCCATACCTTTTGCTAAATTGGAGTAAAACCCATACGTTAGTATGCACTAACTCCAATTTCTTTGGCTTTACTACAAATCTACTCTTAGAGAAAGAAACTTCCTTCTGTTGCCATATATATGGCCTTCACATAAATCCAAATCAACTGATTTCAAACAATGAAACTTATTTTTAGAAAGTAAGGACTTCATACCTTTCTCGCTTATATGACCAAGCCTACGATGCTACAGATCTGCATCCATCCTAGTTCCAGCCACATAAATGAAATCAATCATTTCATTGATATATAAAGGGTGTCTTTGATGTTGCCTCGAACCATCACCAATGCTCTCCCAGGTCACCTTGTGTGAATCTTCTATGAAAGTAATCACCAGTCTTGACTTTGCCAGTTGGCTTACAGAGATGAGATTTCTCTTCAAACTTGAAATATGTCTAACTATAGTAAGCTTCCAGACTGTTCCATTCAACAATCTGATATCCACATCACCATTTTTTACATACTATAGGTCTTGTTATCTCCTAAATAAACCTTCTCTAGATCACTCTAAGTATAGTTTTTAAATAGTTCTTTATCAGGGCAAGCATGAAGAGAGCCACTTAAATCTAATATCCAATATTCAGTGTTGACTAGGGATAACACCATGGAGTAATTTTGGATTTTACCGATGAAGATATTTGTAGAAAGACTCCTTTCCCATCCTCCACCACCAGCTTGCCTTGGAGCTTTGCAGTCTTTTTGAAATGTCATTTCTTACCGTAGTTCCAACATTCTCTTTTGTCTGACTTGCATTTTCCTCTCTCAGACTTGCCTCTGTCTGTATTCCTACCTAGATTCCTTACCCTGTTATCAATATTTAATGAAGAATCTGAAAATTTACCGTTTGCTGCTTTTCTGCGAACTTCTTCATTCAGAATAAGACCACAATGTCAAACCACGAAGTTCAAGTTCAAATTATCTGAAGAATTACTCACCGTTGTGACCAAACCATCCCTGCTGTCCGACAATGAAGATAGTTTCATCAGTGCTCTGAGGTTATTATCAAATTTGATCTTTACAAAAGACAACTGACTCGTCACAACATTGAAATTATTAATGTCTATCCTCCCTTTTTTTTCTGCTCTTTCCTAGAAATGAGCATTTATAATATGCAAATACAAAGGCAAAATCTCAAGCATGCTAAATTCATTTATGTACTTGTATAATTCATTATGTCTGACTACCTTCTGGACGCAACAGAATTTAATTTCATTTGTATGCCAAATGGATAATTAAACTGAGCTTTATTGTTCTTGCACAGTGCTATCTCAGACAGCATTCTAGATAGGGCAATTGATTCAGAAGAAGAAGAACATAATGACTTTCTTAGGCTGGTAAGTCGCATTCGTTCTATCATTTCCCAAACAGGGCTTAATTCCTTTATTTATTTATTTAACAGCGTCAATGAGCTTGATTAGGATCATATTGAAGGATATCATGAATTATCTGCGAAGACGAAGATATTTTTTTCTACAGCAGTTGCTCAATGGGATGCTGAATTTTTTGTCAAGGTGGATGATGATATCCATGTTAACTTGGGTATATGTTTAGTTCTGATGCACTCTGTATGTGCCTTCATATAAAAGGGCATTCCAGTTAATTTGACACTGCTGGAGCTCCTCACTTTTGTTTCAGGTACGCTTGCTGCAACACTAGCACGCCATAGGTCCAAACCAAGGCTCTATATTGGGTGCATGAAGTCTGGTCCAGTTTTGTCAAATAAGTAAATATTATTCAAACCCCCCGTCATCCTTATTACCATGCTTTCTCACATGTTTTTGTTATGTTGAGGCTATATTTTGAGCTTCCCTGTTCCTTTTTTTCTTTTGTGATCTGCAGCAACGTGAAGTATCATGAGCCTGAGCATTGGAAGTTTGGAGAAGAAGGGAACAAATATTTTCGCCATGCAACTGGTCAGATCTATGCCATCTCAAAAGATCTGGCAACATTCATATCTATCAACCAGTGAGTATTGCTAGGGGTGTAAACGAGCCGAGCATGTTCGAGCCTAGGCTCAGCTCGTGTTCGGCTCGTTAAAAAATATCACCGTTTGTGTTCGGCTCATTTACATTTTGAACACAAAAAAGTGTGTTCGTGCTCGACTCGTTTTCTTAGCTAGCCGAACACGAGCTGTTCACAAACCAAGAACCCTAATCACACAGTCGTAGGATGTTAAGGTTTGGGGCAAGATTTAACTCTTATTGTTTATATTAAAATATCATTTAGATTTAATTTAATATATTTTTTATTCTATTTTTTTAATTAATAATTTTAATTGATTATAAATCTTTGTAGCCTCACAATCAGTTATTTTTTTTAAATACTACTCATCAATATATATGTATATAATTAATGAGTAGTATTTCGAGCCAAAACGAGTCAAGCACGAACGAAGAAATTTTTGTTCGTGTCCAGTTCGTTTCTATATCGAGCAAAAAAAAATGTTATGTTTGGCTTGTTAACTTAGCAAACGAATCGAATACGAGCTTCTTAACGAGCTGAACACGAGTTGCTCGCGAACAATGAGCAGTTTTTAGAGCTCTATATTGCTAGTGGATTTATGTGCATTTAGTCTGAATATTTAAGGCTCTACTATGTTTTTTTTTTTTTTTTTTTTTTTTTTTTTTGTATACAGACCTATACTGCATAAGTATGCAAATGAGGACGTGTCTCTTGGTTCTTGGTTTATTGGGCTGGAAGTTGAGCACATTGACGACAGGAACATGTGCTGTGGAACACCACCAGGTGCAGTTTCTTTTTCTGTAATCTTATTTCTGTGGTTCTTAGCAATTTCTTTTTACAGCTTATGTTGGAAGCCCTTCTATATTTTCTTGAAAATTTGTGTAGTACAAGGTTTTTAAGTTACATGGATTAGAACCATTTCATTTAATTAAGAAAGAAATAGGTATATTTATCATGAAAAGTATGTTACAAGAAAAACCTTTAGGTGTGTAGATGCCCCTAGGTTCCAACAGCTAGCTGGTTCATAGATTTTTGGTACAGATGGCTCCATCATGCGTTATCCTACATTTCTACTTTAGTTGGCTCCTCCTTTGAGTATTGCTCTTGATTTTTACCCCTATTGGCTCCCAGATCTCCACCTTCTTGGACCACAACACCCATAGCAACCTCCTCCTCTTTCTCCCCGCCATCTCATTAGGGGTGTAAACGAGCCGAACACGTTTATATTTCGAGGTCAAAAAGTGTGTTTGTGTTCGGCTCGTTTGCTTAACAAGCCGAACACAAGCTGTTCACGAACAAAGAGTCGTTTTGATAACCCTAATCGCATAGCCATAAGATATTAAGGGTTGGGGCAAGATTTAAAAATTATTGTTTATATTAAAACATCATTTGAATCTAATTTAATAATTTTTTATTCTATTTTCTTAATTAATATTTTTAATTGATTATAAATCTTTGTAGCCTTTTAGTCAATTAATTTTTTTAAAAATAGTACTCATATATATATATATAAAATTGATGAGTAGTATTTCGAGCCAAAATGAGCCGAACAGAAATGAACATCTTTGTTCATGTTCGGCTCGTCTCGAGCTTCTTAACGAGCCGAACATGAGCTATTAGCCATTATTTCAGTAGTTATTTCTATTATAATTATTCAATAGTTGTTTCTTTTGTGAGCTACCTAGTTGTACGATGAAACATCTATAGTCTATTCTATTATAATTATTCGGTAGTTATTTCTCTCGTCCCTAATATTATGTATTTTCTAGTATAGGTTTTTTAAAAATTGTATAAATTTTGCTCAAATGCTGTAATAATATATTCAACCAATCTAATTCTTGTCATCATATCGTGATCCAGGCTATACTTTTTTATTGAGATCAGTTTTGACTTTCTTCTTTTTCCATTGCTATAGCCTTCAACTAGAAGGATGATCCACACGGATCTTCTTGTTAATATAATGAAAATGGCCAAATATATGATTTATTTGTTGGATTATATGTTGAATTATATGGTAAAGGAGTACAAGTACTAGGAAAGGAGTGTTTGCCGTCTCTAACTGAATTCATTTCTATTATCTTAACTAAAAAAGAGTACTAGAGTAGTCATGATTACCAACAACCATGAGAAGTTCAACTTTAGAAAATTGTCAAAGCGAAGAATTCTGAGTCAGCAACCTCTCGTTGTGGCCCACAAGCAACCAACCTTATGAAAAGATGATTAATAATATGATGCTTTATGATATAATTGTTGTAGAAATGGTAAATATATTAGAGAAAGATCCTAAAAATTTGTCGGTAAACAATTAAATCATAATTGGCAAATATCTTAAATGGGAGAAGATAACATTAAAAAAGCACTCGTTGTGTTTTATAAAAAATAAATATAAAGTTGAAAAATGTACTATGATCACTGGAAAAAATTTTCACAGTAGGTACTTGTATACTCTTGCATTTTTTTTATTATTTCTTCTTTTCATGCAAATTTTAGAGATACCTAAGTTGCAAACCATATGACCAACTCCTCACATAAGCTTAGGCGCTGTTTGAGATCAATTTTTATTTTTTATTTTTAATCTGTTTTATTTTTATTTTATTTTCTGTTTTATGTTTCTAGTAAACGCTTTGATACTGGTTTGTTTATCTATTTTTAAAAATATAAAATATAAAACATATTTGATTGAGTATTTTCTTTTTTTTAAGGAAAAACGTATAATTTTTTAAAAACTAATCTATTGCTCATATATATATATATATATATATATTGTAATAATGTTATGAATCTACTTGTGATTACTATAAAACATAATATAAATGTGTAAGTTGTTTATAGAATTACAATATTTCAAAGAAATAAATTTATCCCTTACAATTGTTTATTATTTCTTCATCTATTTTTAAGGTAAACACACTGTTTATCTTCCTCCTCGACCGCCCCCCTCCATCCTTCTCGTCCTTAACCGGCGACCCTCCACCAAACCATCTACTTCATCACGGAAGTCTGCCTCACATTCCCTCTCCCATCTCCAAAAGACCCTAGGCCCTTATTTGATATATTTATTGTCCTGGTAATGAAAAAATAACCATTGTATATAGATCCTTAATGATTTTGATTGATGAAGGAGATTTTTTTAATAAATCTTTCACTCTCTGTAATATCCTCCATATACTTAAATTATGTACCAATTTGTTATCAATCAAAATATTGACTAAAGATTCTAAGTTTCATATTGCTTTTTATCATTCTTTTTGTGTCCTTTCGAAACATGACACAAGAAAGATGATTACATTTGCAAAATAAGTGATAACCTCTATAATGTTGAGGAAACTATTTATAAAAAAGGCCCTTAAATCTCTACAAATAAGTGATAACCTCTATAATGTTGAGGTATAGGATTCTGAATCTATTTCAATATTATCTCTACTTATAGACCCTTAAATCCTATAAAGAAAATATTCAGATCCTTATTCACCCATCATTTATTATTTCTAAAAAAAATTTTATTTATTATTCAATAATATTAATTCTGAAGGATGTTGCTTTTTTATATATTAGCTAGATATATACGCATCGACATTCCAAGAAACAATACAAGAATTCTTAATTCTTTTTCTCTTATTGTGGGCTCCAAAAATTCGAAAGACGCCCCAAACTCTCGTCGACAGCTTAACACAGTGTTTATTAAGTTTTGGGTCGAATATTCAGAAGGCAGATGAGATAGTAGATTAAACACTACCTAGAGATTTGATTCTTATTTTATGAGGATTTTAAGATATGGATACATTTCTTGTGTGGTCATCAATGAATGTACAAAATAGTGAAAACCTTCAATGGACTAAATTAGAGTAGGACTCATACGTCAGTATGCACTAACTTCAGATTCTTTAATTTCACCACTGACCCGCCCTTGGAGAAAGAAACTTCTTCTGCTTGCCATAAATACAATCTTTATAGAAATCCAAATCAATTGATTTCAGATCCTGAAGCTTATTCTTTGAAAGTAGGGACTTAATACATTTCTCGCTCATATGGCCAAGTCTACGGTGCTAGAGACCTGCATCCACATTGGTTCCAGTCACATCAATGAAATCAATCTTTCGTTGATCAGATAAAGAGTGCTTTTAATGTTGCCCCAAGTTATCACTAATGCCCCTCGTCAGCTTCCACGAATCACCAATGAAAGTAGTCACCAATCATGATTTTGCTAATTGGCTCACAGAGATAAAATTTCTCTTAAAACTAGAAACATTTCTGATTTCAATAAGTTTTTAAAATTTTTCATTCGACAAATTGATATCAATATCACATTTTCCTACTATATTGCAGGCCTTATTATCTCCCAAATAAACCTTTCTTAGATCACTTTGAGTGTAGTTTTTAAATACCTCTTTATTGGGGCAAACATGAAAAGAGACACCTGAATCAACTATTCAGGATTGAGTACTGACTAGGGATAACACCACTAAGCCACTGTGGATTTCACCAGTGGAGACAATAGTAGAGTAACTACTTTTCTGTCCTCCACCACCAACTTTCTTTGGAGCTTTGTAGTTCTTTCTTAGATGTCCCTTCTTACCACAGTTCTAGCATTCTCCTTTGCTTGACTTGAGTTTTCCTTTCTTGGATTTGTATCTTTCTCTGCCTGTATTCCTGCCCAGATTCTTTCCTCTGTTATCAGCATTCAATGCAGAACCTGATGGTTTACCATTCACAGCTCTGCAAATTTCTTCATTCAACATCAGACTCACGATGTCATCAAAGTTCAACTTTGAAGTCTCTGAAGAATTACTCACCGTTGTTACCAAGTCATCCCAGCTTTCCGACAACGAAAACAATATCATTAATGCTCTGGCCTCATCATTAAATTTGATCCCTACAGATCACAACTGACTTATCACAATGTTGAAGTTATTGAGATGTTCTGCCACTAAGCTGTCTTCTATCATCTTCATGTTGAATAAAATTTTTCTTCAGAAAAAGTTTATTGGAAGCAAAATTTTTTTCGTACATCTTGGCCAGTGACGCCATGAGATCTACTGTAGCTTTTTCATTTACAATGTTAAACGCAACAGGTAAGGAAAGTTTCAACTTGATCAACCTCAGTGTTGTCCAATCCAACACTTCTCATTCCTCTGTAAGCACAAATTCAAGCTTCTTTGTGATTTCTTGTAGCAGCAAGTATAATTTTTTCTGATACAACAAATCTTTCACCTACGTGGTCTAGAATGCGAAGTTCGCCCCATTGAACTTCTCCACTTTGAACCTTGTTTTTTCGGCCATTGCTCCCACTCCTCGAATCGAATCCCTCAGCTCTGATACCAGTTTGCTAAGGAAACTACTCCAATAAGTTTCTTTTTAATTTTGCCGTGGAATAGGATTACATACAACAACAACAACAAAGCCTTAATCCCACTACGTGGGGTCGGCTACATGAATCCTTTTTCTCCATTGCGTCCTATTTACTGTCATATTTTCATTTAGTTCTAGTAAATTAAGATCATTTTTAATACAATAAGCCCAAGTCTTCCTAGGTCTACCTCTGCCTTTCTTAACACAAGTC